AAGAGCTCCTTTTTCTAAGATACATCGTTTGAGTTTTCATGTTGTCGAATCTGCTTACAGCTTTAGTTATCATTTTAAAACTGTAGCTATTTCTTAACACTAAGAACAAGTGTTTATAAGAATAAGGAGAAATAAAATAGTCAACTTGTACAACAAAAGAAGTGGGAAAATTCAAATTCTAGCTATGGAATTGACTCCTGCACCTTTGTGGAAAGTCAATAACCTAGGAGAGACAAAGTTGTACTCCTTAATTATATGTGCAAAAAGTAGTTTCATTACTTGTGATTTATATGAGTGGTATTGAGAAAATGACTGATCCCCTTTCCATTTCAGCATCTGTAAAGCATGGATAACTGTACTGGTAACTATTTTATTTACCACACAGGCTGCTTGCTTATTTCTTTGTTTATAAAGCTATAGGTACATTGATAGTTCTCTGTTCCTGAGAGTTCTCTGTTACTGATTGCATCAATTTTTGCCCCAGGTTGTTTAAATGGGTTTAATACACCCTGTTTTCACAGAATCACAGAATGTTAGGGATTGGAAGAGACTTCTGGAGATCATCGAGTCCAAACCCCTGCCAGAGCAGGACCATCTGATCTAGGGCAGGTCACACAGGAACACATCCAGATGGGTTTTAAAAGTCTCCGAGGTAGGAGACTCCACAACCTCCCTGGGGACCCTGTTCCAGTGCTCTGTGACCCTAACAGTAAAGAAGTTCTTCCTCATGGTGAGGTGGAATTTCCTGTGCTCCAGCTGGTATCCACTGCCCCTTATCCTGTCACAGGGCACAAGTGAAAAGGGGTTGCCCTTTTCTTCTTGACATCCAGCCCTCATATATTTATACCCATTAATTAGATCCCCCCTTAGTCTTCTCTTCTCCAGACTAAAAAGCCCCAGGTCTCTCAGCCTCTCCTCGTAAGACAGGTATTGCAGTCCCCCAGTCATCCTCGTAGCCCTCTACTGGACTCTCTCAAGTAGATCTTTGTTGCTTTTGAAATGGGGAGCCCAGAACAGAGTTTCAACACAGTTTCATGTTCCTATGCCAATTTGTGATTTTGAAGTAAATGCAGGCACCCCCAGAGCCTCCCATCAGATCTGTACGTTCCACTTTGCACTTAGGCTGTTTGGAGAGCAAGAAGCCATGTTACACAAACAGCAAACAGTCACTCCATTTCCTTATGGATGGACTCCTTCCCATTTCGTGGTTGCTAACCGCTGGAGAACATACCTCCCATGTATGCACTATGCCTTCTCCTTGAGAGACAGGGAGACACCAGACCCAAAGTAAACATATAGTCCCTGTCTGCTGTTTTTGAAATGGGCATTGGTCTGAAATCTACACATAATGCCACTGTATTGTCCTGATTTCATTTAGGTCTAGTCACCATCATCCCAGATGAAAAGCCAGATTTACAGGAGCAGGCACCGCTGCACTGCTCTTGCTGGCTGTGCATGGCACACACGCTTGCTCAGTAAAAGCTCACTGGTAGATGAGGTACTGCAGAAGTGCCTCTTCTGTGTCAGTACGTATGCCATTTGTAATTTAAAAATATGTGCTTTAAAACATCATATATCTAAGCAATTTTCATGAGTGAAAAATCATTTATTGGACAAAGATGGTTCTGTTAGGCTTAAAATATCTAGAATTGCCAGAGCCACTGATCTTAATATCACAGAATAATCCAGACTGGAAGGGATTTTAAGGAGCCTCTAGTACAACCCCTTGCTCAAACGAAGTTTCTCAGGGCTTTGTCCAGTTGGGCTTTGCATACCCCCAAGGACAGAAACCACATAACCTCCCTATGCAAACAGTGCCACTGCCTGCCCATTTTCACGGGGAGAAAGATTTTCCTTAGTTCTGGTCTAAATCTCTTTTTTTTCAACTTACATTTGAAGCTGGTCACTGTCCTCTTCCTTGAGCCCTGCTGCAAAGCACAGAGCCTGGGAGACCTTGTTAGTAAAGACTGAGGCAAAGGTGGCACTGAGTACCTCAGCCTGGTCTAGTGTTGCTGCCACTAAATCACCAGCTGAATCCAGTGGCAGTCCCACATGTCCTTGTTCATCCCCTAAATAATTTGAGTTGCAAGTCTCAACTGTAGGTGAACACTGGCCTTTTTAACATCATCCCTACATTCCTGGACAGTGCCTCTGAATTACTTGTTCTGAGCCATTCCTGACTTCAGCTGCTGTACACAGCCTTTTTGCATTGTAGCTCTGTTGTGAGTAACTTGCTTAGCCAAGCTGATCCAATAAAACTGCTGCTTTTCCTAAGTGTCAAGATGGACCGTCTTGGCAGCATCAACTCAGCCTGTTGTCATTCTAAGACACAACACTAGTTCAAACTTGTTTATGAAAGGACAGCTACGACTGTGTCTGTCTCCTCTATATTAACTGTAAAATAATTCTGTGGAGCCACACTTCTAGAACCAGGCATTATGAGTCTTTGCTATTAAACTAAATGCTGTATACTTTCTGTTTGCAGCCCTAATCCTTTCAGTTCCTCTAGCAGAGAAAGGAAAATAACCATGCCACCATCTCATAAAAATTAATTGATTATTGTGTGGAAAGCAGTCTGACACTTCTGATGAAAAGTGTTGTAGATGTTTTTATTTACTGCTACCAGCAAAGCACTATGAGTAAAATTGCAGTCAATCATCTTGCTTTCAAAGTTATTAACTTTAAACTGAGGACCTCAGTGAGATAGCCTGCTTTATTATCTGAGAGATCTTGATTATTGTCACAAGTTAGTAAATTTAAGACCTCAGAAGCCTCACTCCTTGCTTTCCTTAATATGTCCCTCCATAAAAGCTACTCATAAACACAGTCCTTTTTATGATCACAGTCAAGGGGGAAGCTGTAATGGGGGAACTTACCACCACTTAATTAAAACATACCTGCTTTCTCCACTTAGGCTGCACAGACTCTGTTCCACAGACACAGGAGTCAAACTTCAGCCCCCCAGGGCCGTACCACTGTCAGTTCTACTAGGTGTCTAAAATGGGCTAGTAGTTTGAAGCACACTAGATAACTTTCAAGCTCATTGGGTCAAAACCTATTACCTTAGGGCATTGCTATCACATTTCCTTACATCTGCATTTCTCTCAAGCCATTGGCTTATGAGTTTTACCCAATGTCTATCCACTATTCCCACTTTGATGGGGGAGAAAGTGCAGTCAGCAACAAAGTGTTAAGCATTGGCCCTTGCACCAAAAAAAAAAAAAAAGACTGTGAGATTCTGTA